GTATGGGTAACTAATCAACATTTGATACACATATTTATATTCCTCTACAAAGGCTCAAAGTACCCTCCCCAAACATGAAAAAGATTAACATTGAACACTGTGTGTGGAGCTGAAGAGGAAGAATGCTTGCAAGATCCACAAGTTAAAGAGCCAAAGAGTGATGTAATATATGAGGGTGGGAGGTGTGGGAGGTGTGGGTGTATCTGCTCAGCTTCGTTCTGCCTATCCTGTGTTAAAGTCTTCCATTTGGTGTCGTCTGTCACCTACAGAGCGCAGCCAGCAGAGTGAGGCAGGCCTGGCTGCTCCCAGACCAGCACCGAGTCTTCAATCTGCACCGCCTGCTGAGACAGCCAACCAGCAGCCTGCTCCAAACAGCCTGTAGGCCTCTTACCCTCGTCCCGAAGCGTTTACATAGAAAACTAATGTTGATTTCTGCTGTTTATCCCAAGTCTCTCATTCTCCTTCTTTTTCCTCTTTCCTCTCTAAATGGACTCCATAAGTGCTGTCCCTGACGCTGTGGTGCTCCCCAGCATGTTCCAGGGGGCTGCAGAGTCCCAGCGTCCTCCTCTGAACCTGGACTTCCCCCTCTGGAACAAACTGCAGCCTCCTCATGCCACCCTGGAGGACATGGAGCTCACCTGCCAGAGACCCACCACCGTCAGTATATACACTTGTAGTGGTTTGACAAAAACCCTACAAAGGGTCCCTAAAGGGGAACCTTAAGCACATGCCCCTTTTAACCAGTTCATTGTTTCTCATTTCACACATTTGAGCAAACACATCTCTTTAAATGCAGAACAAAATAATACATTCAACAGTTCAAATGACCAGTCAGTCCCACGTGAGTCAAGGTGTGTTTGCAGAGTTCCTTAAAAATAGTCAAAACAAATGATATAATCTGCAAAGCTCCGTGCCAGGCTTTTTTGCATAGTCTACTCTTAATCTAAATCAATAATCCACTTCATGTGCACGTTACATGTGCTGCTTATTCACCTTTTGTGTTGGCAAGATTCTATTTTTCCTGAATGAGTGGGGTTTGAATACACTGCATCCAACATTTTGAACATGTCACAACATTTCACTTCCTCCCAAAAATAAGATAGAATATAGTCAATAGAAAGAAAAAAGAAATGTCAGACATAAAGCAATGTATTTGAAACACACACACACACACACACACACACACACACACACACACACACACACACACACACACACACACACTCACACAGACATACACACACACACTGTTGACCTGATTTTCTAATCTGTGCTCTGCTCCCGTAGGTGGTGTTATCTGAAGACCCGGTGGACGCGTCAGCGATCGGAGAGTGGGGGGAGCAGCTGGTCAACTCCTTCCTGTGCCACTGGAGAGACAGCGCAGACCCCGGGCGCCCCGCACACATCCTGTGGTGCAACGACAGCGGAGAGAGCGGGACGCCCTACGACTTCAAGCTCACGTTGGGACCTGAAGGGGGCCCGGGGGTGGTGTACGTGGAGGTGAAGTCGACTATAAAGAAAGAGAAGTCGTTCATCAACCTCTCGGCCAACGAGCTGGACTTCGCACTGAAAGAGAAGGAGCGCTATCACATCTTCAGAGTGTACAGCGCCGGGGACGCTCACAACGTGCGCCTGTGTCGCATTCAGAACCTGGCGCAGCACCTCCACACTAAAGACCTGTCCCTTTACCTGTTTGTATAAGTCCTTTTAATGTTTGTGGAGATATTTGCACTATACCAACTTACACCACAAGCACAGGCTAACGTGTGCTCACAGTTGATCCTTATTGCACTGATAGTGTTTGTTTTAATGTTCCTATGCCTCTATCTATTGTAGGTTTTTTAATGAGAAAAACAAGTGCCCATTCCTTTTTCTTTCTGTCCAAAATATTTTTAAAACTGTTTTAAGAATGTACTATTTTAAAGTGGATGTACTGAATGTTTTTATTCCTTTTTAATTACCTCACCTTTACTCTAGCATTCCTTTAGAATAAAATCCTTTTTCTGGAACCTGAATGATGTGACTCATTTTGTTTTTTTATTCCTCAAAGAGGACGTATTGTGGTTATTTTCAGGTTCATATCAGTATTTAGTGTCTCTCCTGTGACATGTCTCCATGCTTTAATGTTCAAAAAGCTCTTTCTTTTCTCATACTGCCCGTGCTGCAGCACCTCTTTTCACCCTCTGTCTGAAACCAGAGCCCAGTCTGCTCTGATTGGTTAGCTGGCCGGCTCTGTTGTGATTGGTCAACCTTTTAGAGATGTTCTCTCTAAAAGGGTACAATGTGTTTGAGTCCTAGCAATTGAAAGCGCAAGTGTTACATAATGATGTCACTATGTCATGGAAGTAAGCAAAGGAGTCCAATGGAGGCGTTTCAGGCACGGGGGGAGTGTGGGAGAGAAACTCCCTCTGGAGGAACACAGGGATTTGAGCCTTTGCAGACCATTTACATGCACTAAAACCTACGCTTATAACACAACACAGGAGAGGGAGAACCATCAAAAGCATAATAGGGCCTCTAAATACGCTTACAGGCGCTTCTAGTACTTCATTAGTAATGAGGGGTTCTGTCACAGTAACCTCACTAACGGATGAAGTGATCACAGCTTCAGTTCAATCAATGTCCCTCACAGGCTTCCATCAGTCCTGGTAATTATAGAGTCAGTGCAATACAGTAAAAGCAGCCCAGCATTTTTTTTTTCTCATCATATGGTGTGAAAAAATAATTTGTTCTTATTTCTCTGGCCCCTGGTGGCCCCCACAGTTATGTTCTCGCTGTAGGAGGGTAATCGTTGCAAAGAGGACACTTATTAGCCATGTGATGGGTGTTGGTGGAGGGATCAGAAACAGCCTCTTGGGACAGCACCTCCTATTTTCATCCTGTGATGCAACCTCTCGGTAACCAGAGGGCTGCTTTCTACCAGTCATGGGTGATGCGCCACTTATAACCAGAATAATACTGAATGACAATTTCAGCACATTTCTGATGGAAACTCTGGCCATTTAATGTAAATCTCACTAAAAAATAACTAATAAATAAAGATAACATCACTATTAACTTGCTGCAGTGTTGTGAGCCACAGGAATACATACTGTTTCATGTTTTGTTAGACACCCACAGTCATGAGAGGACAGAGATGATTAACGGATTGTGTTGTTCTTACAGTATATTGGATGGGGGACTCCTCTTGCACTTCAAAGATGCCCCCCTTGTATTGGATTTATGAGGCATACTAAAACTAAATTCAAATAAGAGTCAAGAAGGGATTTTGGATTCAATAAAAGAATCAGTCTGTGACAAGTTATATTGAGGTTGGAGACTTATTTTTCAACGTAGACCGTTTTTAAATAAGGCAATTAAGATAAAAAGATAAAGTTGGGGAGTTCGCTATTATTTGTTATTGATTATTATATTGCTTAAAATAAAGTGATTCATCAAGTAAAATAGTTAGTAATTACTAATGCTAATATTTAAAATAGGTTATTTACATTTCAAGGCAATTCAAAGTGCTTTACAAAAATGAAAACATTAAGAGCATACATTTTTTTATTATAAATAGCATTTAAAAACAGTCATTAAAAAGCAAAGAGAGTAAAATACACATAAAACAAGCTTATATATCAAATACATGAATGAAAGTTACAGTGCAGTGTAAAATATAAATAGTTCAATTAAAAGCAGCGGCAAAAAGCCTGGATTTAAAAGTAGTAAGAGTTGCAGCTGACCTTCTGGGAGTTTGTTCCAGATATTTGGAGCATAATAACTGAACGCTGTTTCTCCATGTTTAGTTTTGACTCTGGGGACAGAAAGCTGACCAGTCCCTGAAGACCTGAGAGTTCTGGATGGTTCATCATTTAGCAGATCAGAAATAGGTTTTTGGCCCTAGACCATTTAGTGTTTTATAAACCAGCAGCAGTATTTTGAAATCAGTTCTTTGACAGACAGGTAATAGCTTCTACTGTATACAACACAACATATTTGGGATTTTTCTAACATAGAAAAGACCATCAATGTATCTGCATTTAGCACAAGATGAAGCTTAGTTTATTGTGTTGAAACCCCAGAATATTAAAGGTGTATGGTTGTATGAAGTGTGAGGTCTACTACTCTACACTACTCGATCATCAGCATAACAATGGCTATTACTTTCATATGCATGAACACGTACATTATTAATATACAAAGTGGGTCAAGCTGCATCTCATCAAGGTTATTGCTTTGGGGGGAAAAGCTAGAATAATTGGAATATTTTTATTTTTTCTATGGATGTTAATTGATCAAATATGAAATGTAACATTTTGTAGAGGTCTTTTGTATATCAAAGTAACCTAATGATGGTTAATGGCAGGAAAATAACACCCAGAGTAGCATTTATTTAGCTGAAACCCCTACATCAATCTTTTTGGTATACATTTTTGTATTACAGGACTACTAGGGAGCTTCTTTTTTTTCAACCCACAACCCCAGCACCCTTCCCTTGGAGGTCTTTAAGTTATCAACCCAATTCAAAAAGGAATATGAATAAGGAAAAAAGCAGTGCAAAAGTTGGAGGTAATTGTGATTTTGTAAATACATACATTTAGGTATTCACCATCTTCTGTGTTCTGTGTATTGTTTTAAATATATACGTATATATAATTACAAAGTGTTAACAAGAATCCCAACACATGGAAATTAAATTAATGAAACATTAACATAAAGCAAAAAAATACCATATGTTGCTTGACAGAAATGGTGTGAGCCAACATGATGTTTTAACACAGATTGAACAGAATAGAACAAATCTGCTATGTTATATTTTAAAGTGCACCCTAACTCTCCATTTATCTGCATTTGTATTATACTTCCGACTGGCCCTGAACGCAGCATAGTCTGTACGGAGACAGCGAGCAGCGGCGGCTCCCGGCGGAGCAGCGCGGCGATTGGCCAGAACGAAGAGGGGGAGGGCTTATCTCCCCCCACCCCCTGCTTGCCTCACTCCTGGCAGAGGCACTCCTCTCCTCCGCGCCTCCCCTCCCCTCTCCTCCCCTCCTAGAGGACAGAGCGATGCGGAGACAATAGGACGCATAGCCGGAGCAGTCTGCAGGATGCTCGGCGTCTCACAGAGGCTTCTCACCGGACCCGGAGCCCAGGACCAGGCCTTTCTCCCGGCTCGATCCCCCAAGTGTGCTCCCCAGCAGCCTGCACTGATAGGGCGGACTCCACTGCCTCCATATGGGAGACAACTGAAGGGTGAGCTGTGGAATAAATGCTCCATCTATCCTCACCTGCACCCTCACCCTCTGACTCCCTATAATAAAGGGATGTATTACACTGATTTCTTATTTCCCAAGCATGACAGGCCTATTCTGTGCAGCACCATGCACTGAAAACAATGCTGTAGAATGCGCGCGCGTGTGTGTTTGTGTGCCATTTATCTCCAGGAAACAACAAAATACTGCATTTTAGATGTATAATCTGTTAAGCGGAATTCATGCTATTGATCACAATGCAACCTCTTGCACCCCCACCCCTCCATGCATCCTATATATCTGCTGTGTGTGGTGTGGTGTGGTGTGGTGTGGTGTGGTGTGTGTGTGTGTGTGTGTGTGTGTGTGTGTGTGTGTGTGCACCTGTCACTCAGAAACAGTAGTTTCCTCAGAGTCAGTGCAGTCTAAGGGACACACTGCAGGTGGGACCAACATGACGTAGCCCGACAGACTTCTGAAGCTGATGATGATGGGAGAATATTAACAGACCATAATGTTTACGTTGGTCCACATGCTGGGTTCAGGGATTTTTGCACCTTCCTTACGGTTGTGACAAAGTGTCTGCATGTGTTGCATTAATGTCACAAAGAAAAAATACTACTGA